ATTCAACAATAACAAAAAGATGCCATAGGCACGGATATAGAGTGCAATAGTCCCCTTTGTAGTGTAAAGTAATTACCAAGGGGTAAACTACTAGTCAGAAGCATCCTCAGTATATAGCTGATTAGAAAAAGTAGAGCTGATATCAGTGTTTGACTTCATTCCTGTGACTCTTTAAAATGGAATCAAAATCAAACCCATGAGGAGTATTAATTCCTGGGCATGAAGATCCATACTTAGAATTCCAGCACTCTAGAGATTAAAGCAGAAAGAACTATCACTCATGACCGTTTTAGGCTATATAGCAAGACTCTGTCTCAAAAGGAAAGGGGTATTGTATTCTTAGCTCTTGCTCAGTTGATAGAGAGCTTGCATAGCATGTGGATAGCCTAAGATTTCATCTCTAGCACAGCAAAAACTGGATGCAGTAGTATAGGCTTTTAATCCCAGAATTTGAGAAGTATAAACAGGAAGGTCAGGAGTTCAAAGTCATCTTTGGCTACATAATGAGTTTGAGGCAAGCCTGGGATATATGTGACCCTGTATTAAAAAGATGAAGTAACAGAAAAACAGCCTAGAGTGCATTAGTATTATGCTTCTATTATTTCAGTGAGCAACCAAAAATACAGCAGATAAGCTGCTTCCAGAGATTTTTTTTTCTTTTTTCTTTTCTTTTTGGTTGGGGGAGAGGGATTGGAGACAGCTCTGTATAGCCCTGGCTGTCCTGGAACTTGCTGTGTAGACCAGGCTGGATCTTGAACTCAAGAGATCCACCTGCTTCTACCACACAAATGCTGGGATTAAAGACATGAGCCCCCATACCGCTGTTTCTTAAGAGATGAGAACAATCTTTTTGTCCCCTTCTTACCCAGGGAGCTCAAATGTGGCAGGCAGCACCTCTCTCTGATTCAAAACTCCTCACCAACTCCCAGAACCCTCAGAATCGAGTCTCAACTCTTCCCATGGTTTGCCACATCCTTAAGGGATTCTTGCTGACCTTCTATTCCTGGTATATTTTCCTTCATGCTCAATTACCAGTTTTTACTTATGCTCTTCTAAGCTATGTTCTGTCTCTTGAAGCATTCTTCAATCTTTTTTTTCACCTTCATATAATACCATTGTCACTGTACCATGTCATAATTTCCTGTTTACTTGTGTTCCCAACTTGTCCGTGAGTATTGCATGCCTAAAATGTATGTATGTGTTATTTATTGTATACCAAATGCCCAAGTAAGTGTTCAATGAATGCTTGTACTTGAATGAAATTAAACTATTGCTTTCCAAGCATGTTTTGGAAATAATGTTCCATCTAGGGTATAAATGCTATAAAATGGAGTGATGGCAGGCATGGTGATGCACACCTTTAATCTCAGGATTCAAGAGGAAAAGACAGGCAGGTCTCTTAGTTCCAGGCTAGCCACACAGCTACATAGTGAGACCCCGAATTTTATTTTGTTTTGTTTTGTTTTAAAATGAGATCTACAGATAAATAGGGAAATGCATTGTGTTCCATAATGGGACACATACAATAAAGTAGTTCTCGTGTGACTAGCCCTAGAATTTAGTAGAAGAACCTGGCAGTGCTAGTGTGGTTGCTCAGTGGGTACAGGTGCCTGCTTCCAAGCCTAAAGAGCTGACTTGAGGACTATAGACCTGGGAACTGTGCTGTGGGAAAAGAGAACCAACTCCTGAAAGTTGACCTCTTCACTTTGACACAATGTATGCACTCATACAAATATGAATAAATGGAGTGAATTATTTTTTAGAAAGAAAGAAAACTTGTTTTTAAAAAAAATGACACAAGAGGTAGGTATGTGGTACAATGAGTGGTATAAAGTATCCTGAACTTCCAGGATTGCTGACTGCCCCCCCACACACACACACACAAACACCTCAAAGGGGAAAAAAAAACTTCAAGTAATTCTCTCTTTTTGTTTTGTTTTGTTTTGTTTTGTTTTTCGAGACAGGGTTTCTCTGTGTAGCCCTGGCTGTCCTGGAACTCACTCTGTAGACCAGGCTGGCCTCGAACTCAGAAATCCGCCTGCCTCTGCCTCCCAAGTGGTGGGATTAAAGGCGTGCGCCACCAACACCCGGCTTTTTTTTCTTTTTCTTTTTTTTTTTTTTTTGCCTTCAAGTAATTCTCATTGGAGGCCAGATTTATAAACTATTAGTATACAGTAATTACAAATATAGTTAAAATATATAATTTATTTAGAGTAATGCCTAGCATATAATATTTATACTTGATTACTGTTGATTGTTGGTGCTGTTATCATATATGACTACAAATCATAGTTTATGGCATATTTGTTAGCATTTCACAGAATCTGTTTTGGCAAAGGTTCAACTATGCAGCTACTTCAGTATCCTCTATATATGCTAATTACACCCAAATGTTTTTGTTTAGATACCCTGCCACCATCTAAAATATACTTGAAACTGTAAAGCCTTTTCCTTCCTTCCTATTTCCAATAGTTCTCCCCGCCTCCTTGACACATTAACAAATGCAATTTTGGTTCCTCTTTCTCTGTCCAGCCCTCACATCTAAGCACTAAATCCTACCTGTCCCACTGTAGAAGCGTCCTTTAAATAGACCCCTTCCTGGAATTACCCATGCCTTTTAATATGTTTGTACATTTACTTCATCCTTGCCTTTTCTGCCTGGTAGTTTGTTGCCTGTACTTAAATGTCACTACACCACCGCAGTCCTTCTTGTCATGATGCCTTCCCAACCACTCAGACAGAAGAACTTGTTCATCTTGCCCTAGAGCACTTTGTGTGTAACTCGATTATAGCACGTTCCACTTTGTACTTATCCTCTCTAGCTGCAGCTCACAGCCTCTCCTACTAGCATACAAGCTACTTAAGAATTCGTGCTATGTCTGAGTCATTTTCATGTCTCCCAGGACTTGAGTGTCTGGCACGCAGGAGAGGTTCAATGTTTCAACGAATTTAAACAAAGCCAAAAACTAGTATATGTTGTTTCTCTCTTTATACAGACATTAGTACTGAAGAGCAGCTAAGACGTCTACAAGAGGAGAAGCTTTGCAAGATCTGTATGGATAGAAATATTGCTATAGTTTTTGTTCCTTGTGGACATCTGGTCACTTGTAAACAGTGTGCTGAGGCAGTTGACAAATGCCCCATGTGCTACACAGTCATTACATTCAAGCAAAAAATTTTTATGTCTTAATCCAGCACCACAGTAGGCATGTTATGTTCTTACTCTAATTGAATGTGGGATGTGAGCGAACTTTAAGTAATCAGCATTGCATTCCATTAGCTTCTGTTCCCAAATGGAAACAAATGTTACCAGCACTGTTTCGGTCTAAAGGGTGGATTTCTGCATCATTTATCCAGTGTTTTACTCACTTGAAACCTTAGACAAAGAAGTATTTTATAACTTTTCACATGTATATTTGTTGTACACTGATTTGATTTCTATGTATAAGTGAATTAATCACCTGCAGTTTTCATTCCTTTAGCATAAGCTTAACAAATGGAGTGCTCTGTGTATGCAGGGAGATTTGATTTAATCTGCCCAATCACTTTTAATTTGCTTAGTGTAAACAGAGAAAGAGCTGTTCCACACTGGTGGGAGGATAAACATTGTTTTTAGATGTTTGTTTCTGTGTTTTAGGATTCTTCCCATTTACTTGGAATTTATTGGAATTATAAATGTACTTACATGAATATTTTTAAGTGATTTTGCCATCTCCTAAAAGATATTTAATGGTAGACTACCATCTAACCAGCATGTACTGACATGGAAAGGCAACACAGATATAGTAAGTGTAAAATAAAAGTGGCAAAACACTATATCTAGTTAGAGCCAAATCAATGTGTGTGTATTTTGTATCTGTACAGGAGAAAAAGATTTGGGAAGATAAGTATCACTCTTAAATGTATTTTTTCTTCTGGGGGGATGGGGGATGGGTCTTAGAGGGGCTTATAGAGCCTTTCACTTTTTCATTTTTTTCTGTTTGAAGGTTTTATAAGTATGTATTACTTTTATAATCAGAATTCTTAGTAAATATTTTGCTGATTTAAAGGCTTAGGCATGTTCAAACGTCTGCAAAACTACTTATCGCTCAGTTTTAGTTTTTCTAATCCAGGAAGCAGGCCAGTTAACTTTTCTGGTGCCAATGTGAAATTTGAATGTTTTTGTTTTACCTGCTTTGTGGATGAAAAATATTTCTGAGTGGTAGTTTTCTGACAGGTAGATCATGTCTTTTTATCTTGTTTCAAAATATTTCTGATTTTGTAAAATGAAATATAAAGTATGTCTCAGATCTTCCAATTAATTAGTAAGGATTCATCCTTAATCCTTGCTAGTTTAAGCCTGCCTAAGTCACTTTACTAAAAGATCTTTGTTAACCCAGTATTTTAACCATCTGTCTGCTTCCATAGTTAAACGTAGAAGCGTGTTTGTATACAGCTTGTAGTTTTAGTGTCAGCTCTCTGTTTTGAGATTCTCAATGTCGTTTTGTGTCCTAAAAGTTTCATGTAGTTTTTGCTGTTAGGATGATTAAGATGTATATAGTACAGAGTGTTCAGTCTTTGATTTTTTTAATGTTTGTTTGTTTTCTTGACTAGTAATGGTAGTAGATACTTTAAAAATATTTTCTCAAGATCCTTAAAACCTTGGAAATTTTAACATACTGACAAGAGTAGTTTAAATATTTTAACAACTTATATAAGTCAATATGAATACAATCAAAAGCTAAAATGCTTCATAGAACATGGGATTTACCTTAAGTAATTATCATGATAGACCTCTTGTAATGAATGGTCTGTTTTACTACAGAGAACAGTTTGGGAACGAAACTGTTACAATTTAGACTTTTTGTTGTATTTTCTAAGAGAAAGAGTATTGTTAGGTTCTCCTAACCTCTGTTGACTACTATGGTAAGTGATATTATTTTAATTGCAAATTTAAATAGAAACCAACAGAATTAAGTAACTGACTGCTCCTTTTTCTCTTTGTTGTTGTTTTTTTTTTTTTTTCCGTGAAAATCCTTAGTTCAGTGTAGCGTCTTCTGCTTAGGTTCAGTTATATAATTGTTAGGTTACATTTGATCTAAGTTGACTAAGATTTCAATTTATATTTCAAGCATTCTACCAGGAAATAAAGGTGTTAATTTTAAAAATTGTTTCCAAGACACTTCAGGTAAAAGTCATATAGGTAGTTTGTTTAATCTATTTATTAGCCAAGGACTTGAGGATTGAATGTTTTCAAATAAGTCTTTTCTTGTTCTCAGAGCCTCAGTTCATTAAAACTCTTTTAAAACCTGCGTGCTGAGAGTTAAGCAAGACCTCTTTTCTTGTCTTCAGGAGTTGCGAAATTGAATTCATGGAGCTGATGTGGCTAACAAGTTTATTTTGGGAATTGTTTAGAAAATGCTGTTGCTTCAGGTTCTTAAATTCACAGCACTCCAGGTCTAATCAAATTATTGGAGACTTACCAGAGTTGGTCTGAAATCACACTTAACAAAAAAGCACTGGATCCCTTCCAATATGGTAGTGTAAAAAATGGTCACTTGGAAGGTCACTGTATAACCAGATCTGAATCACTACCCGAGAGAGTTCTCAGTGTCTGTGTGTTAATGTTCTTTTTCTGTATAAAGTTCACCCATTTTACTACATATTAGTCATGTGAAATTTGAAGTTATTTTGCAATAGTTACTTTTATTTGTTATTTACTGTGTTGATCAAAAGTTTTGTGAGTGTTTAGCATTTTTAAAGTATTCTCTTTCCTCCTAGACTTTTGCCTCTTCCTGTAGTTAGGGCTAGAGGTAAGGTGAGTGTACTAAGTGAGTACAGTGTGGTTTCACTGTGGTAGGATAGTTTGTTGTCTTGTAATTTACAGTGTGTTTTTATCTGTTTTTATTTTAGTAAGTAAGATTTATATTTTTGAGCTCTCTGAATGGAAACTGCCACTCTAAATTTGCTGCATGCATTGTTCCCATTAGACCTAACTCTTATTGTACTTACGAGTACCTAGATACTGAATAAAGGAAGAGGAGAAATGAAGTAGACTGTCACTGTTATTAGAGAAACAAGAAAGGGGATAGAGAAATATGTGACAGATACCATTTTAATCAAATCTTCTCTTTTCCAAAAGTTAGCTACCAGTGAAGAAAAGAACTAGTCAAATAGTCTTAACGACCTGAATTCAGATCCCCAGAACCCACATAAAAGCTGAGTGCAGCCAGGTGGTAGTACACTCCTTTAATCCCAGCATTTGGGAGGCAGAGCTAGAGAGATCTCTGTAGGTTTGAAGCCAGCCTGATCTAGAGAGAGAGTTCCAGGACAGGGAACCTTGTTTCACAAAACAAAACAAACAAAAAGATAAGTGCACTAGCCCAAGTATCTGTAATCCCAGAATGCCTACATGAATCAGGAAGTAGATAGGAAAATGTCCAGAAGCTCATGGTCAACAAAGAGGCACCATGGTAAACAAGGTTGGAAGGTGAGGGGCCACCAACATCTAAAGGTTATCCGATGCCTCCACACATGCACCATGACAGGTATCCACTTACACCCAAACACATACACAAAAGAGAGAAAAAAAAAACCAAGAGAATTAACACAACCATCTTCCAAGATGATGGAACACAACTCAAGAACATCCTTTCTTTTTTCGTTTTTCGAGACAGAGTTTCTCTGTGTAGCCCTGGCTGTCCTGGAACTTACTCTGTAGACCAGGCTGGCCTCGAACTCAGAAATCCGCCTGCCTCTGCCTCCCAAGTGGTGGGATTAAAGGTGTGCACCAACACTGCCCAGCCAAGAACATATTATATATACTCTTAAGTGTTAACTCTCATCCTAAAATCTTGAGACTCCTCCATGGGTTGTCTTGATGGAGGATCTTGGACTAAAGCATAAAAGAGGGCCTGGAAAAATAAGTTAGCTGTTGAGAGTCCTTGCTGCTTTTTCAGAGGGCTTAGGTTCAGTTCTCAGCGTCCACATGATGGCTCACAAGAACATATAATTCCAGCTCTGGTGCCCTCTTCTGGCCTCCAGGGGCGCATGCATGCATGTACACATACACAATCATACATGCCTACACATAAAATAAAAATAATCTTTAAAGCTTAAAGGAAACTCTTATGTTAATTTTTACTCACTATTATTTGTTTCTCTGGATGCTTCTTATAACAATGCTATAAACTGTAATAAATAAATAGTTCAATCCTTTAAAAATATTTAAATTCCTTTTACAAAAACTAGAAAAAGTACTCTTACTAAATTCAGTTGAGTTTTCCTAATAAAAACAGTCAACTTATTCCCATCTTAATTGTTTAGCTTGGCTCTGAAACATTCAGCGCAATGTAGATTTCTCCCTAACATAATAAAGTCACAGACTATCAGAGCTAGAGATGACCTTAGAGAGTCACTTACTCACACCACCACCACCTTCATTTTATTGTGGAGGCGACTACTCACAAGGACAGGTAATTGGTGCAAAGTTACATACCTAACTAGTGATAGATTCTTTACTGGGACATAGTTTGAGGTTGAAAAGCCTCACCATACCAGCCACTTGTCTTGGACGTCTCAGGGTTTTTTCAACTATTCATTCTATTACACTCTTTTCACTGTATAATAAGTGGTGCTTTATAATTTCTACAGTAGGACAGTTGCTGATATTTTCAAATTAAACAATCTGACAGTGATATGCTGACAGTGAATGCTTGAGAGGTCAAGTTCTCTTTTGGAGGCTGAAGTTTGCAGATGTGAGTCCAGCTGTTTGACATTTACTATGTGCTTATGTTTCATTAATGAGCATTTAAGATTACCGTGTAAGTATATTTTATCACTGTCTACAGTTAACCAACAAACTTGCAGTTTTAATTTGATGTAATAATGGCTTTAATGTAATTTCTGTTTTTGCATTTTTGTTATACTTTACCTGAAAGACTGACCAATTGTTTTGTCATGTTTGTGTACTATATTTGTGAATATAATTTTATGACTCCTTTTTGTTCTTTTAATGGATACCTTTCTTTCATTATGGAATCTTATAAGAATTGCTTTCTGCTCTATAATCTGTCATTTGTTGTAGATTAAAGCTTATTTTTCTGTGAATAAGACTTATTCAATAAAGCACTATTCTTTAAAATGTTATCTTCTTTGTATTTGATTTTATTTGTTTTGTTGAGGTAGGATCGCATGTATCAACCCAGGCTACTGGCCTTAAACTGAGTATGGATGAGGGTGGCCTTGAACTTCTTCTGATCCTCTTTCCTCTACCTCCTTAGTGCTAGGATTACCTGATATATGAAACATTGAGAATCAAATCCAAGACTTCATACATGCTAGGTTCTACCAAGGTAGATTGAACTCAGGTAGGGCTTGACAGCAGGTACCCTTATCCCCCGAACCACACACAGGCACATGCCCAGCAGCCAGTTGTAGTGGTCCATGGCTTTAATCCTAGCATGTAGGAAGCAGAGGCAGGCAGATCTTGTGAATTCCAGGACAGCTAGGGTTACATAGATAAAACTTCCACCCAATTCAAAAAAAAAAAAAAAACCAATGATTCTTTTTAAAAATATATTAAAGTTGGGCTAAAAAGTGTGGCTCAGTGGCAGAGCACCTGCTGCTGACAACAGTGGCATACATGAGAGCCTAGATTTAATCCCCAACACCAGGAAAAAATGAATAATTGACACTACTCTCCTTGAAGAGTAGCCTGTTTGTGTTCAAAGTGCCAGCAAGCAAAGAATGATGAGTCTATGAAGCACTGCCCCATTGAGGCAGGCAGCAAAGGGATTTTTGTGAGTTAGGATATATACTGACCAGAGTTTCAAAATATGATACAGGCTCCCCTGGACGGAAATTTACAAGGAGCAGTTCAAGTGACTATTGTTCCATCCTTTCTTTTTCTTTTTTTTTTTTTTAAAGATTTATTTATTTTATGTATGTGAGTACACTGTAGCTGTTTCAGACACACCAGAAGAGGGCACCGGATCTCATTACAGATGGTTGTGAGCCACCATGTGGTTGCTGAGAATTGAACTCAGGACCTTTGGAAGAGCAGTCAGTGCTCTTAACCTCTGAGCCATCTCTCCAGCTCCCTGTTCCATCCTTTCTAATAATCGACAATACAGGTTCTTAAATGAATTATATTCCAGCCAGGGATGATGGCACATACCTATAAATCCAGCATGTAGACAGGAAAGACAAGAGAGTTCAAGGCCAACTGAGGATATATGAGACCCTATTTTCAAAAAGAAAAAGGTATTTCAGGCCATCTGTGTCAAGACTGGTTAATCTTTGACAGTATAATCACTGTCAAAATCATTGTCATTATCAAAAAGCAAACAAGACTTTTTGACAACACATCCACAACATATTTGAAATAGGGTCTTAATCTCTAGTTCCAGCTTAAACTTGGCAATCCTCTTGCCTCAGCCAGTCAAGTGCTGAGACTAGGCCTCAACCACTATTCCCAGTTCCCTTTCAGAAAATGCTTCCCTCCTTTCAGTATACATTTGAGCTTTGTAATGGTAATCAGAATGACCCCAATTCCTCACTCCCCTTAAACCACTCTGATCAAAGGCTGGCATGATGGTTGAGCAGGTAAAAGGTACCAACAAGCCTGATGATGAGTTTGAGTCTCAGAACCCACAAGGCAGAAGAGAAAACTCCTGCCTATTTTCCTGACTTCCACATGTACACTAGAGCACGTATGTGTGCCTGTACAAGAGTATTGCACACACAAATAAATAGAATTTTTTAAAACTGCCTTTTGATCAAGCAATGACATTTAAAGATTTGAAAGCTGAGCTGTAAGTGCTGGTAGATGACAGCAACAGGGACCTGCATTTCTACAGAACCAACACTACAGTGAAATGTGAGCCGTTAATTTGGAAGGAAAGGATTTCAGAGTTGGAAGGAGTCTGCCTTTCTAATTGATGATAATTAACAATTCAGATTCTTTTTTGTTCTGAAAATTTTAAAATGTGACACAAAAGAAAATAGAGGACTTAGTCTT